CTCCAGTTCTTTTATTATAATGCCTCTACAGTCGTTTCTGTAGTTCAGAACATTTTCATATTTTCCGCGTATCTCTTTTGTGCTCGCAAAATATTCGTGGAAAGCTATGAAAAGTTATGAAATGCTGTGAAATATTCAATGATGAGACCATTCGGTTACGTGAAGCTGCAGTAAAAAGTAATTCTGCATTGATCCCCCTTTCTGCAACGACTTTGTAAAGAGGTTCGATATAATCGCCATATAAACGCTATGTTTGGACGTTTAACCGAGCGAGTTGTAGAATTAGACGAAATATAATTTTTCGCATCGTTTGCGTTCTGGAGCGAGCTCGAGCGAGTACCTCGCAATCGTGTACCTCGCAATCGTGTACCGCATTACCAGACGCCATACTGCCACGCTTGATCCCAGTGTGTGGCCTCCGCGATCTCGATATGTGTTCCGAGAGCGATACACTTTAACATCAAGCTCACAGCCGTTCTCAAGCACGGCGCTATACACGCGTACACGCGTGTGCGTCGATCAGTGGCGTAATGATCGCTTCTGCGGCCGCTTGTGGATAACATCGAAGGAGTGGCACATGAATCAGACGGGGATCTCTCGGGGCTAATAATATCGGGAGATTAATGGAGCCATTCGCGGAACGACCGTTTTTTTAGCCCGCTAATTCGCTAAGACAGCTCTCGAGCTGCCGTACGAAATTCTTTTCTCACAGGCGCCTCTGTTCGTCTCTTCCACACTTGAAAAATATAACCGACCCGGAAACGTGCGTTACTATACGTAATGAAGAAGACGTAATTACGTTAACAAATTCTATTAAATAAATCCTACCTTTTTCCGTCCCTTCTACAAATGTAATTTTCTTCAATTTGTATTAAGTGCCTATATATGCTTTTTCTTGCCACATCTATTCTATTAAAATAACGGTGGAAAATCTGTTTCAATGTCCGGCATATAATTTGTCTTCCTGTATCAGAATATACTCGTATTTTTGAAAGAAAAAGAAAAAGTAAACACGTTACATATGTGAAACTCCTTCTAAAGTTTAGTCACGCGTCCTTTTGACGCCTTTTGACCGTCCGGAGCAACGGGAGAGCTAACAGGAACAAAGCGGTTCTGAAATTGGCCAGACCTCACAGCATCAGATTGGATTTGTAGCTTCCCCTTCTGCATACGCCACTGGCGCCGTGCATAGGTGCACTCCTGAGCACTGCGATATTGCATTTTACTCGGGAAGGGGATGAGGCGTGTTCGCGTTGTACGTCAAGTCGTGCTGTGTCTCGCGTTAATAGCAAAACGCGACTTTGTGTTCGGCGACGAGCTGAGCGAGGAAGACGAGCGAAGACGCGTTAGCTTCGGGTCAATGCATCGTCATGCATCGATTTACACGACATTGCAGTTTCGTGTGTGAAAAAAGTTCGATAGTAATTCGCGGCGTATCAATCATTTCCTTGCGGAATGATGCGACGTTGATCTTCGAAAAAGGCACGAAGCTGCGGGAAGAAAAGATTTATCCGCGACTCTATTATACGCGCTCGGGTACATTTATATCCCGAAAAACGTTAATATTTGAAGCTTACGCGAGAGAGAATCTCTCTCCTCGAGAGGATGACTTTAAATGAATCGTCCTGTATGCCCAGCGTGCGCGTATGTACTTACATAAGTACCGTGGCTCACGCGCCCAATATTAAGTATTCCACTCGCATTACCTCCCTCTGAACAGAAAGTTACATACTTCTTCGCCGTATACGCGATGGCAGTGCTGTGCAAACTTAATTAGCGACTCCACTGTCGGCGGCGAACGTCGTAAAGAAAGACGAGAAAACTCACGGCTGCACGGCCGCGCGCGCAAAAGATCTCCGCTCGGAAAATTGCACGCCGTTTTCCGAGAGAGAGAGAGAGAGCTAGCCGAGAATCTTCGAATCATGGAATCGGGGATTTTAGTGACTCTTTCAACGCAACGAGAATTCACACGATTATTAGTATAGAGGTCTGCAAAATTGGACTGCGTTCCGAGATCGTAATGCATGTATAGCGCGACCGACACTTTATCATCGATCTTTGAAAATTCGCGCGTGTTAGGTATAAATGGATTAACTAAAATTCCGCGGCCGATCCATAACTCGTTTAACTCGAATCGCCAAAGGTGCTCTCGAGCGCCGATTAATTTTAGCGCCATTAGCCAGGCTAATATATAGAAGGCTTTGGATATGTCGTAATTCGTTGACGGAAAATTTCAGATCAACTTTCACACAAATTACGCAAACTGTCAACTATTTTATTTACATGTTACCTTTTTTTTTCTTTCACTAAACTCTGCTTAGAATTTGTAAGCAACATTGATAAGCAAACAAAGCAAACAAAGATAAATAAATTCGTCTTCTAATAAAATAAATTATCATGATGTTTTAAATACACTACTATTCTCTCGATAGTTTAATGCATTCGTGTACAAGTAAACAAAAGTTTATGTCGTTAATAATTTTAACTAAAAGTATTTTTACTGCAGTTCAAGTTTTATATTAAATACATCTTTTGATTCGTTTATTTTATTCTTCGTGAGCCTTTAATTCAGTTACAAACAAAAAGATTTGAAAAGTATCGTTTTAAATTCTTCATATTTATATATTCATTTCTCGCTACTTTGCCGTATCATCTTTATGTTGTGCGATAAAAACGTAAAGATGAAGATTAATACGGCACTGACTTTATGGCCGCTTGTCGTAAAGAACACACAAAACACACACGGGCGTATTGCACGTCGTTGCAACAGGACGAGAGATGTAAACGTGTTTCTCGTTGATACCCTTCTTGTAACACAGCCCGCATTATACGAAGTACCGCGTCTTGAGCGGTAGGACATCTGATTTTATTATCGATTCGCGGGGTACGTAATTGTACTTTTATCGCTGATGCAGGGAATGGGAAATGCGATGGGGATATTCTGCTTTTAACATTTTTGCGAACAACGATAAAGATCATTCTGATTCAAAGTGCTCTGTAAAAAGTACTCTCTGTAAAAGTACGTAAAATTATATAACACGTAAGTTGCAAGACTTCCCCGTAACGTCTCTTGACAAGGAAAATATTAACTCGAAGTTGTTCAAACAGTCTACAAATTTTACGGAGACGCATATATAGAGACGGAAGCAATAACGATTGTTCCACATGCGCGGGGAGAGCGGGGTGGGCTCACCCTCTCCCACATACCTTAACTATCTGACAAACCTCCATGTGGCGCGCTTAACTCGCGAAACCGGGCGGCAGCGCATAGAGATGCACCTGCGTGCTATGTATGTGCCGCCGTGCCGTCGGGGCACAAAGGGCTAACTTCCTCCGACGTAATCCCGCGCGGAAGTTGTGCCGTAAACGCTGCGGCGCAACCGGAACCGAATCGATGCTCGGCGACCTCGAAACCGCCGGCGTGCCTCCGCCAGACATCGCGGAGACTCCACACACAGGCGGTCGCAGATGCTACGGACTCGGAGCCAAGCCGCGGCTGCCTATTCGACACGGATTGTTGGTCCCTTCGGGCCGCCTGGTCGGTATAGGGCCGCTCTCTGGGCTCTCTTCGTAGTGCCGGCTGGCATTTTCTGTTAGTCGTCGGCAGACCGCGGAGCTAACCGGTCGGCGGGGACCGCCGCGCGTAAAAAATATAAGCGCCCTCTCTCTTTCTCCCTTTCTATCTGCCATTTGGTCGCGCACGCGTCACTCTCGTATACGATCGGTTATGTTGAGACAGCTGATCGATTAATCGAGCCGCGAAATATAGATGGAGAGAAAGAGGAAGTTTCTCTAATGGATGATGAGAATTGGTAACGAGTTTATCGGCATAAACACGTAGACGTCCGCGATCTGTCGGGTCGCATTCCGCGACGGGAGGGTGCCGCTGACCCGGGGTGGGCCCCGACGGGAGATCGTGAGGGCCCCGCGCATCGTAACACGGGCCGAGCCGTAAATAATAGCGACCGGCACGCGATACGACACACGACTTTCGTGTAAGCGTAACGATCGGGACGTAGCGGCGTATCGCGCGGACATTAATAATCTCGTGGTAAACGAAGGAAACGAGCAAGAGGAAGGAGATAAAAAAATTCCGATATTTTTCAATTAGGTTTTATCCTTCATCCGCTTTTCCTTTGACAAAGCGTTAGCTCCGTTGCGCTCAGAACGCGCCTTAGCTCCGTATAAATATCATAAGGATGGCATATATTATTGATCAAAAAGCGTGGTTACGTATTAATTACAAGTTTGAAGATTATACTGACACGGCGATGGAAGACTATGATGGGATCTACAAACGGCATTGATGACAATAAGTCACAACAGCGAGCTGAATTTTTGGCGACAAATCTTCTGTAAGTTTATGAAAAGTTTTAAAGTTTTTGTGAATCACAATGAAAAATTAATTAAATGTCCTGGCCGTATGACGGAGAAGCCTAGACGCTCTTTTATAACATACTATGATCGATGAGAATGGAAGACTATGATCTGAATTTCTCAGGACGCATCGATTAAAGTTTGACGTGCCATCGTTATGAGATGAGAAATGGCGTTGTATGCTCGCATACTCGTGTAACGCAATACGATAATGTAATAAGCCTTTGATATATCCATAATGAACGATGATAAACGATAATGACTTTATGAATATTTCATGACAGTCTTATGCCGAAAATCGGAGCACGATTCGTGTTTCGAGCAAAAGCCATTTTGTGCCATTGTGCGAGAAACTGTTGCAATTCAATCGACATTAATCGTTCAATAACACTGATCGTTCTGACAATTTTAATAATCACGTGATAATTTTATTTAATAAAGCACGATCTCTCAAAGGTTCTTTTTCCTTGTAAAAACGTCAAAATGTCAAATTTTGCACACCGTGCATTTTTCCTCGATAATACGATGCATGCTGCGTCGCGGGAGTGAAAGATCGATCGAAGAAGCGGCGTGGCGTCTTCAACGTTTTCCGCGATAACGCGTACCCGCGACCCAGTCCGGGTGCGCTGACAAGGCGCGTATAAAATCGACGATAGCGAACTGGACAGCCGCCAGTCTTGCGAGAGCCGCGCGCGAGAGCGGACGTCGCTCGTTTTACGCCGATGCGGTGCCACGTGAGGGAAAAGCCAGGAGGAAAACTCCGTTCGCGCGCAGCTACGAAGTGACAACATTTTTCTTCCCGTTTCTTCCCTCCCGTTGTGGACTCACGTTATCGTGTCGAGCGACAGGAATGGTGTTGGATTGCGCCGGAAGTGCGACAGAATTAAAATCAAGCGGGATCGGCTCTCGGCGTACGTGGGATGTGTCTAATGTGATCGTGGCATTCCATCGGATTTAATTCCATCGACGCGGGAAATCGATGTGCACTGATTTTCTCGTGGATCTTCGACGCAGGACGAAACGAAAAAAGAAAAAAAAAATTGAAAAATCAAACGAACTGAAATTATAAATTAAAAATTTCGACGAGTGCCAATCTATTTGCTACTTTTACTTGATGGACAAACATTAAAAATAATAGAACAAACCGATACTTTATCTATAAAACAACGCTAAATTCAGGACTTTAATAATAAAAAAAGTTACCGTGGGAAATAATTAAACACTTACAATTACGCCCGAGTGAAATGTGACAAACATTTTAATTAACAGAAACAAGAGTATGACGAAGCAATAACAAAATTGAATGTTTCCATCGAACGAACTGTATGAAATTCGTATTCATTGCACTGCTGATTGCTTTTACTAGAGTAGTTAATCGAAACTATACTCGTATCGCTTTACCGCTTTGCTCGAATTGTCGCTTTTCTACAGAATCGATTACAAGCGTTTTCAAGCAGAGCTCTAAGAGCACAGAAGACGGAGAAGAATTCTCAATGGGTGGTAGATTATACGAGACGTAATCTTATCTCACGCGGGATATTTGTAGATATTCTTAAAAAACGTTTACGGCGATTGACCCTGAAGATACTTCCGCGGGGGTGTGAACGAGGCTATTATCAAATTCCCGAAGAGATCGAGCGCGCGTCTACAGTTACCGCGTAGATAAAACTCACACCACTACGCTTCCAGACGAAACCAATTCCTTACAAGTGTTCCGGGAGGATCTTCACAATCTCACCCGCGCGCGCACTTACTCCACTGAAAGTTTCCCGCCCGGCGGCAACTCTCCCGTGAAAATGCGAAGACTAGAATCGCGGAAATCCTGTTTGTGAACAACTTGAAAGTATCTATCTCGTAAAATAAAAATTTATTTCACCGTGAAAATATAAATCGCATCGGTACGAAAACATTCTCTTTGGAACTCGCTCAAGTGGGGAAAAAATTTCGTAAATTGTGCAACAACTATCTTCAGAATCTCTGCAATAACGTTCTCAAGAAAGTTATCCGCGTCGAGTAATAAGGGAAGCATTAAAAGAATTCAGAAGCACGTCAAATTATCAGTGAAGTCTTTAGGACTCTCAAGATATAACTATTGATTTTTCGATTTCCCCGACGAACGTATGACAGATTTGTCCCAAAAAAATCTGCGATCGTAAGCTCCTCGAACTGGAGTAAGTCTCGTCATAAGTCGCGCGCGATGCATCGGACACGAGGGAGTTTCGAGAAGACAAGTGAGAAGTCCTGGGAATCTTAGGGCAACGGAGAAAAAGACGGAAGCCGAAGGAGAATCACACGAAGGCGAAGGAGGAAGAAAGGAGGGAATTGCGAATAACAGGCAGAGGCGAGGGAACGCTCCAGGAATGCCGTGGATAAAGTGTTTGGGTGGTGGAGGCGGGAAGGCCAGGAGGGGCAAGCCACTCAGCGTCAGTCAACCGATCCACCTGCTTGTCAAGGTAAGATTCCTCTTGAAAAGTTTTCCGCAAGACTTTCTTGTGGTGAATCTCATGACGAATCGAGCGACCGTTCGATATATCTGAGTCGTTTCTTCCGAGGAATTTTTCGGAATACTACAGTTCTTTGTGTTCGTCGACTTTTTAGGAATTTAACAGAGTTTCTCTACAAGCAACAGTTAGGAACAAAGTATAAGACAGTAGATTCTCAAAATAAAAAAGCGCATTATATTCAAATAAAATGCGCGTTTCTAATTGTGTATCTTATTAGAGTAATTTCTTTTGAGAAGTAATATGTTGTAAGGACTAATTAATTAAAATTTTATGGACATTGACATAATGAAGTGAATTAAAAATTAAACGACGAGATAATCCCATCCATATGATATTGAATAAATAGTATATATATATATATATATATATACAACATATTACTTCTCAAAAGAAATTACTCTAATAAGATATACAAAATATATAGTATATATATATATATATATTGAAAACTGAAAATTGAAATATATAAAATATATTGAAAATTTTTATAATATAAATGTAAATTTATGTTTGTAAAATTTCCAATATACGTTGTTTAAAAATCCGATAGACATTAATGGAATTTATAAAGGGGCTAGAAATGGGAACACTGATATTACTCCAGTCAATCTATCTAATGTGGTAGCACATGGCCCTTCTGTTTTGTGGCTATCAAATTTGTTTCCTTTCCAATGGGCAACTTGAACCAAGCGGAAAAGTACCTTGATATCTTGTAATATTTTATTGCCTTTACGATATGTGAACGGAACTGTAGTGTTCTCCTCTTATGTACGAGGAAAATTTAACTCGCTTGATTGACTCATAAAACGATGCCTAGTATATAAGTACGATCGTGCCGAGTAATTAAATGATTATAACTAATTGTAAGAAAGAAAGAAAATAACCTTGCAATGATTCAGATAGGTTATAAGGTATATATCGGAAAAGGAATTTTTGTTATTTCGTTTGAAACTGGCGGTTGATATCAGTTCTCGCAAATAAAAATCACCGATAGAAATTAAATTTTCACAGTAAATGTATTATAAAATAAAATTTTTTACAGTAATATAATCTTGCAAAATGAATTTTATTTGATGGTTTATTTGTCTCAATTTATGCCGCTCCTGACGCACATTATAACTATATCCTTTCGAGAAGCGACATAAAATTAAATTACGGGATCTGATAATACTGCGATAATATTTATTGTTTACCATTAATGTTGTTTACCACTTGTCATTCTATCACCGTCCATTTCCCTTCTCATTATCACCGACACGGGATATCGAATACCCCGATAAGTTTATAAAAGAAAAAGAATATAGAATAAAAAGACATCTGTGGATTATACCGTTAATAAGTAGTACGACTTACAAGAAAAAAAGAAGACTGTCTTCAACGTTAGTACGACGGAATGTAGGAGGGTTTCCGCTTAAGGCGATGGTTATTAGGCAGTTTCGTTCGTCCCGGGAGGACGCCGTAAGATCGGGAGATACGAAATCTTTGAGATGATGGAGGGACGCCGCGGTGGTCAACATTTCTCCTCTTCGCCGACTAGCTGATTTATTAATTCTCCAGGACGGCCTTTTTCCTCGGTTCCGGGCCCCGTCGGACGCCCCGCGGGTACCATCATCGATTCGACGATATCTCGGGCACGACCCGGCAATTAAGCCGGTAATAACAGACGCGGTGTTAGCCACTTGTTAAAATTACAACGAGCCTCGGAGTCGTGATATTCATTGCGCGCTTTTGCACGACCGCCGCGCGATATCATTGTGATATTGTTTTGCAATCGCTACAAAAGCGCGCGATACCAATTTCCGGGCACGTTCACGGAATTCTGAGGAAGCACAGACATTACAAATTATTCGAATACAAAATATTCATAAATATTCATTATTCAGATTTAATACATTTCGTATAACGAGAATTCAGACATTTAATTTAAATTGGTGTCTTCCTTTCTGTAAAATATTTTCATGACGTGATTTGAACCCTCCCTCGTTTCAAAACACGCGCAACAGTTATAGAAATTTATTGCCAATAACAATAACGTACGACGGGATAAATCGTAAGAATTAATTGCTAATCACAACGGAAGCCGATTCCAGTAATTATATTTGGAAATCAATTATACGTATGCATTTTTGCGGAATATCATGACACTATTTCTTGGAAAAAAAATATTGAAATGCAGGGACGACATATTTTCTAAACGATGGAGTGAAATTACAATTTAGAAGGCAAAAAATTCTATTTAGGTGGCACGAGAGACCGGCATTCGTGCGAAGAGCTCATATTTCAAGTTTCTGGTCGCCGCATACCGTGTGCGTCGGACAAGCTGTCCCAACAGATGTGCACACGTATACACGAAAATACAATGTCATCAGCGATAAACTGCCGCGCTAAAATAAATGTTAATCGGCGATTTCGCTAATTGTACATTTCGATCGCGAGTCGAATTTCTTTTGCGGATGAGGTACGGAAAAACGCGAGATGACGACGCGACGAGCGGGTGACGAGTTAATTTGCGAGCGAGTCATTACGTGATCAATTTACGTCACTCGCTTCCGTATTTGCATATCGTTCGCAGCGTCGCCGTTACAATGAAATGCGCGGGCGTTTTGCAAATCGCAAAAATAAACTTAGCGGTAATCGAGCGGCCGGATCGCTCATTGTGAAACAGTAGACGTTCCGTCGGATCGTTTCAATCAATTACGCGAATTTGCTGGAATTAATAAGGAAGGTAAAATTCAATTTCAACAAATGTGCATGCAGAATTTTCCATTCGACTCGACATCTCGGCTTCAATAACGCTAATCGCGAACGGAAATACACTGGGAGTAAATCGTCGGTTGGTACAAAAAGAAAAAAAAAACGTTAAGAGGCCGGCAATCAAATAACACTAAGCCACCCGCGGAGGCACGCTATACGATATTTTCATTTAAAGCAGCACTTTAAACGCGATACGATATTCCATGGAACGATTACAAGCTGAGCGTCATTCCTACCTGCGTAAAACGATACAAATATGTGAAACGTGAATTAACGATACGTATGTGTTAGTGTCATGCGCGAATATATATATGCAATGGATACGAGCGAAAAAATCTTGGACTTGCAAAAGTATTGCTTATTAATCACAAATATTCTTTCCTCCCCCAACATAATAACTTAATAAATGGAATTATTACATGTTTCCACAAATAGAATTTCACATCTTTTTTGTTAAATGATTTAAAATATTCTTTCTCTTAGCTGATATCCAACTCTTATATTTAAACATATAAACAATTGACTAGACCGCGTACGTAAGTGAAAATCACAAATAATTTGAGAGCGCCTTCGCTACGATCATGATTGGATTTTGATGCCTAGTAATAATTCTATGAATATTTAAATCCATTATTCAGCCAATTGAACTGCACGCCGAATCAATGTCGGACCTGCAACGCAGTCATTAGCTGAAGCTGGAATGAGATCACAATTGATTCTCAATTCTTAATAATTCAATGCATCTTGAAATATTGCGAAGAACTTATTACGAAAAATATTACCTCAGCCATATTTAAATCTTATATTTAACTTGTAAAAAAAAATAATCGCAAGAAATATAAAGTTTCTACAGCAATGCAGAATCTTTGTAAAGAGACATAATTTTTAGTCATTCATATATAGACACCCTATAGAAGATTGGAGGATCTTACGACAGCAGTTGAATGAGTTTGTGAACGATAATTTTATGGGAGATACGTATACGAGACGAGAAAATGTTTTTCCCGCTACATGCATCCGCCGGTGCTTCAAGTCCGGTCCGACCGCCGCGGCTTTCCAACGGCAGCGCGTCGGCGTTTCTGAACGCGCCGCACTGCGCCGCGCGCCGGCTCGTGGTGTGCGCGAGAGCCGGCTCTCTGTTATTATAACCGTACTATTATCAGTACCGAGAGAGACGCCACGGCGGTACACCTGCGTGCACGCGTATATGCACGCGCGTACGAAATATACGCCCACACCGTCGTGGTGCGCGCTCCCTCGCGATGTAAAGACCGGCAATTAAATTAGCGGGCCCTCGGGGCCTACGGCCGATTTTTCCTTCGCCCACGCGGCCGATTCGTTCCACCACGAAAAGGTGACGTTGCCCGCATGCGGGAAGACATTATCGTCTCGGAATTTTAATCGACGTTTGATAGCGGTCCTAATCGACAACGCAATTATGAAATTCTAGAGAGAGTATTTATGCACTTTAATGCATATAATTTAATTTAGAAAAATAGCAGAGATAGAAAACAGAGTGTAGAGATTGTCGAAATAGAAAGAAGAAATTAAACGGTAGTTTCGGTGGCAACTGAAAGCGAATGTACCTCCTCCCTCTATCATTTATCACGCGAAATATTATATTATCACACCGTGTTTTAAGTATAATTATCTGTATGTTAGTTTTGTAACGCCATCCGACTTTTTTAAGCGTTAGCAAAGCAAGCGATGCAATATCTTACGAAAGGTTAGATTTCTTCGCACGTTGTCGGTTTTCTACCTACGCGCACCAACTCACGACGCATGCGGTACGTTTACTCCGGGCTTTGCTCAATACCTTACGTTGTTTGCTCTTCGCACACGTATTTTTCTTACACCTCGTGGGCGCTGTCACAATATTACCTTACTACCTAGCTTTTCCATGCCTATTTCGATACCTACCCAAAATAATACAGGCATAGGTGTAGCAACGAGAACGTCTCTAACCGGGCATGTAAACTAAATTTTAAAGCGGATCAGTTTATACAAAAGTCTAGCAAGTGTATAATGCGTAATGAACTATTACGCGCATTCGCCAGGTCGATGAACCATGGACCATGATAATTACGTGAATTTCCTAATCCTTCGACTCGAAATGCAAGCCTGCGGGTCTGCGCGAAATCGTGAGCGTGTCTGCTGACCTTTCGACGAAGATTATCATGTCCGCCGGAGTTTTC